TTTATCATATACTAAGTAATTTATTAATCCTGTATATCATCTACTAAGTAATTCTTTAATCCCTTTTATCATATACTAAGTAATTCTTTAATCCCTTGTATCATCTACTAAGTAATTCTTTAATTCCTTGTATCATCTACTAAGTATTTTTAATCCTTTGCATTCTCTAGTTAGCAATTCTTAAATCTCAAAATTATGAACTTAGTAATACTAAAGTCCCTAACATTATCTACTTAGTACTATTTAACCTCTTTTATTCTGTACTTAGAAATACTTAAATATTTTATATAATTTACTTAGTAATACTTTAATCCCTTATCTTATCAGCTTAGTAATATTTTAACCCCTTATATTACCGGCTTAGTAGTACGTTAATCCCTCATACTATCAGATTAGTAATACTTTAATCCCTTATATTATTTGTTTAATAATACTTTAATCCCTCATATTATCAGCTTAGTAATACTTTAATCCTTTATATTATTTGCTTAATAATGCTTTAATCCTTATTAACTTAGAGAGAAGTATAACTGTAGGGTTGATTTGACAAATACGACCACCAGGGGAGAAGAAACGTTTGTTTATTTTAGAACAAATCGGGAACCGGACACAAGTAGTATTTTTCAAACATTTGACTACCACTTCTGTTATCCTGTCCAAATAACCCACACACAATCAGTTGTAATATTTATATAAATGCACACTGGGTCTCTTAATTCTCGCAAAATCACCACATGTTACCTGTATTAGTAGGTACACTCATGCTACCTGTAATAGTAGGTACACTCATGTTACCTGTATTAGTAGGTACACTCATGTTACCTGTATTAGTAAGTACAGTCATGTTAACTGTATTTGTAGGTACACTCATGTTACCTGTATTTGTAGGTACACTGATGTTAACTGTATTAGTAGGTACACTCAAAGGTTTGTGTGTTTCATTCATGAGCAATAACACTTAATTTTGAATGTTTGTTTGTAATGGGTTTCGCGCAAAGCTACACGGGGGCTTTCAGGGGTAGCCGTCCATAATTTAGCAGTGAAAGACAAGAGGAAAGGCAGCTAGTTATCACCACCCACCGCCAACTCCTGGACTACTCTTTTACTAACGAATAGTGGGATTAACCGTCACCATATAACGCCCCAACGGCTGAAAGGGCATTCGAACTCGCGACGAGCAGATTGCGAGTTGAGCACCCCTAACCACCTAGCCATGCCGGACCCTTTTTTTTTTTAATGTTATATCGAATTCAAACACGACCGATAAGCGTCTGATTCACACGATTCATCCAGATAACGTTTAATATAATATAAAATATGCATTATATACTTATGATGTAGTTATCTGTAGGTGGAGTATAATACACACTGTTCTCGAAATTCTTTCGGCCACTTGGTGACCCCCCCCCCCCAGTGGCACATCGGTATGTCTGCGGACTCACAACGCTAGAATTCGGGTTTCGATACCCGTAGTGGGCAGAGCACAGATAGCCCATTGTGTAGCTTCGTGCTTAATTACAAACAAACCCAATACATATAATGTTCTACTAAATGTTTAAGCCTTAACAACTCAATGAATTGTTTCAGTATACTTACTGAGCACATAACGTGCTCGGAGTGTGAGTCAGAGGATTAATGGATCGCATTCCGTTACCACAAAAAACACGCTCCGCACTTTGAGGCCATGGGCGACAATGAAAACCTTTATTCCGTCAGACGAGAAGAGCCCAAGAGTTGGTATACAATGGTATTGGCGTCTTATCAATAGTTTATCAATTGAAAATTATAGACAGTTATGCGCAGAGTAGCCCTTGTATAGCTTTAACCGAAGGTTTGGAAATAAATGAAGGGATTTTCTCAGAATACATAGAGGCGAACTAACACGCACCCATAAACTCATATGTAAGAAACATTATATAAGAATATTTGCGTGTCAATAATAACGTAATAAACACTACAGAAGAATCTTTGCGTGTCAATAATAACGAAATAAACACTACAGAAGAATCTTTGCGTGTCAATAATAACGAAATAAACACTACAGAAGAATCTTTGCGTGTCAATAATAATGTAATAAACACTACAGAAGAATCTTTGCGTGTTAAAAATATGTAAGAACGCTACAGAAGAATCTTTGCGTGTTAATAATAACGTAATAAACACTACAGAAGAATCTTTGCGTGTCAATAATAATATAATAAACACTACAGAAGAATCTTTGCGTGTCAATAATAATATAATAAACACTACAGAAGAATCTTTGCGTGTCAATAATAATGTAATAAACCCTACAGAAGAATCTTTGCGTGTCAATAATATGTAAGAACGCTACAGAAGAATCTTTGCGTGTCAATAATATGTAAGAACACTACAGAAGAATCTTTGCGTGTCAATAATATGTAAGAACACTACAGAAGAATCTTTGCGTGTCCATAATAATGTAATAAACACTAGAGACGAATCTTTGCGTGTCAATAATAATGTAATAAACACTAGATAAGAATCTTTGCGTGTCAATAATAATGTAACAAACACTAGAGAAAAATCTTTGCGTGTCAATAATATGTAAGAACATTACAGAAGAATCTTTGCGTGTCAATAATAATGTAATAAACACTAGAGAAGAATCTTTGCGTGTTAAAAATATGTATTAAACACTAGAGAAGAATCTTTGCGTGTCAATAATATGTAAGAACATTACAGAAGAATCTTTGCGTGTCAATAATAATGTAATAAACACTACAGAAGAATCTTTGCGTGTCAGTAATACGTAAGAAACACTACAGAAGATTGTTTGTTTTTGAATTTTATGCAAAGCTACACGAGGGCTATCTGCGCTAGCCGTCCCTAATTTAGCAGTGTAAGACTAGAGGGAAGGCAGCTAGTCATCACCACTCACCGTCAACTCTTGGGCTACTCTTTTACCAACGAATAGTGGGATTGACCATCACATTATAAGGCACCTACAGCTGAAAGGGCGAGCATGTTTGGTAGGACGGGGATTCGAACCCGCGACCTTCAAATTGAAATTCAAGCGCCCTAACCACCTGGCCACGCACATTATGTAGCTTTGCGCTTAACAAACAAAATTCTATTTTAAAAGTTCACTGTCTGTCTGCTTGTGTCACCTGAATGCGTATTACAATAATCACTCATAACGAGAATGATACAATACGCGTACAGAACACGAATGCGTAAGGACGGTAGAAGTTAAAGGATTTTATGAAAATTCTTTATCATACATATCTGACATTTTGTATCAAATCACCCCACCAATTAAAGAAACTACTACCACAAGTACTAGGAAAACAGTAATATCCTCATATATTATGTACACATGTTTGTTTGTCTGGTTGGTTTTGTTCATAAAGACGAGGTGATTAGTTCCTTCTGATTTATTTTTTTTTCATTAAAATAGTATAATACTACGCATACATCAAACACCTCCGACGTTATGGTCTGTTTCAACAGTACACACGATTCTTACTTGCAACTCTTCGGAAAGGCGGTGTACGTAGCGCGCGAGAGTTTGGCGCATGCGCCATATGAATTTTTCCAGGTATGCTCGAGCCATAGTGGACTTGTCTCTCTGACCGTCAGGTAAGCGAACGCCATGGATTCCATTTTTCTTAAGAGCCCTTAGTTATGTTCCTGCTTGTATATCCTGTCACGCTTTTGAAAACAACGGCATTGTAACGATATGAAACAGATAAATACACAAATGTTTATCGTTGCAGTTACGTTCAGCAGTAATGCGATAACGATGCTGCGGGTGTAGTTGTCGTATTGCAAAAGGCATGCGTATAGCGCGCGGCTTCGCGTGCAGTGAATGTATTGATTTTAACGTGCATAACCAGGACTTGGTGGAGGGCTATATAGATTATCGGCTATATATATATATATTTCAGTGTTCAACAACACATATTGTTGATAATGAAAATAAATGCATAAGGCGTATTCTCACTAAGCCTAAAACAGTCAATATGTACACATTGCATATATATATATACTGGTAATTTAATGTCTGGTGACGTTTTTACACGCTGTTGTTGTTATTTTCTGTTGCTTTATTTATTCTTTTATATATATGACATTTCAAAATGTATGTTATTAATACTTTAGGTAGTACCTTTTCCTAGCGACCCAATCCCCTAGTTGATCGACGCTAAAATTAGTGGTTCGATTCACTTTGGTGGACAACGGGCACATACAGGGCCCAAAAGTGGACAAAACGTATTAATGAGTGCAAGCTAGTTTACGTTTGTGTACACAGCTACCTTGTTTAAAGGCCACTGTCTAAAAGAAAGTCATTGGGGGGCAAAGGAAGCAACTCCGTTTGGTCCCTTAGCATGGCCTGATGGTCAAGGCACTCGACTCGCAATCTGTGGGGTTCGAATCCCCGTCCCAACGAACGTACTCGCCCTTTCAATCGTTGGAGCGTTGTAATGTGACGGTCAATCCAACTATTCGTCGGTAGAAGAGTAGCCCAAGAGTTGACGGCGGGTGGTGTTGACTAACTGCCTTTCCTATTGTCTATCACTGCTAAGTTATGGACGGCTAGTGCAGATAGCCCTCGCGTAGGATTGCGCGAAATTCAAACTAAATCCATTTGTTTGTTTGTTGAATTTCGCGTAAATCTACTCAAGTGCGAGCCGTCCTTAATTTCGAGGTGACTGACAAGAGGGAAGGAGCTAGTGAACACCGCCAACTCTTGGGCTACCTTTTACCAACTAGTAATGGGATTGACCGTCACGTTTGAACATCCTTCGGCTGAAAGAGCAAGCATGTTCGGTGGGACGGGGATTTGAACCTGTGACCTGCCGATTGCGAGCCAGGCAAGGCAAATCCATTTCTCAAGGGGGGGGGGTCGAAATTATTCATTCATTTCCATTTATCCGTTTAGTTTGTTTGTTTGGAATTTCGCGCGAAGCCACACGAGAGCTATCTGCGCTAGCCGTCCCTAATTTAGCAGTGAAAGACTAAAGGGAAGGTAGGTAGTCAACACCACCCACCGCCAATTGTTGGGCTACTCTTTTGCCAACGAATAGTGGGATTTACCGTCACATTATAACGTCCCAACAGATAAAAGGGCGTGCATGTTTGGTGAGACGGGGATTCGAACCCGTAACCAACAGATTGCGAGTCTAGCGCTCTATAACCACCTGGCCATGCCGGGGCCCTTCTATCCGACAAATTATAAGTCTGTATTTCACCTAACTTTGGTAACAATTAACTGAATGTATTTATAAAAATTAATAAAAACGTCTGTTCAGTATGAGTCGTTCCGTGGAATTATGGGATTAATTTCATCTTTTAAGAACAATATTACTTTTATCGGGCGTGCGGAGTCTCGTGGCCGTAAGTTACTCGACATCGTAACTTTCAATGCAGCCGGCTTCTACGAAGGATGGCGAAGACAAGCCTAAAACTAACTTATCGTACACATTTTTCACAGACCTTCCACTGCATCTGGTTAAAAGGATTGCTAATCTTCGAACACCCTTGGTGATTAATAATTTTCTCTAAACTATTAACTTTACACCAAAATAACTGTTTGTTTGTTGTTGAATTTCGCGCAAAGCTACACGAGGGCTATCTGCGCTAGCCGTCCCTAATTTAGCAGTGTAAGATTAGAGGAAAG